CGCGGACATAAACAATATACACAAATATGACAAAAATGTCGGTCTTAGAAAAACTCATGTATTCTGTAAGTGTAAAATAAGTAAGATTAAGTAAGATTAAGTGCATAACATTGAAATCATAAACAATAATACAATAAAAATTAATTATGTGCACCTTGTGTTCCTTATTATCCGGACATTGACATTTATGATTTTAAGTAATATTGTAAAAGAAGAAGATAGATACTTTATAAAAGTATTCAAATATAATTAATATTATAGATACCTATTTTAAAAAGTAAGATAAATATCAGTATATAAATACTCCGTAAAAAAGTAATTGAATACCTATATAAATATTTTAAAATAAAAAAAAACATTACTATACTTTCAAAAGTTTTACAAACAATTTTTTTTCTTAAATCACTGAACCGTTTGTTAGYATTTTCATGATTATATAACTGAAAATATAAAATATATGAACTAAAAACAAAATGGATTTGCAAATTAGTAATTTAATTTAAACAGGTCTATACGTACAGATGACATATTTTGTAAAAAATATTTAAAATATCTGCTATTTCCAAGTACTTTTGTCAAACGTATTTAAAATACATATATTTTTGTAGGTACTTAAAAAGTATTTGAATACTTTTACTCGAGTACTTTACAAGACTGGTTTTTGATGACATTGGTGTTTGTTGAACAAAGTTTGTTCTTAATACATTTAAGTTTAGAAAATACTCGTTTATAAGAGGCCTGTGTTAACAACAATTAAAAAACAATAATGAACAAATAAATTAGATTGGTATGATTTTATGAATATACAGTATACGTATTTTAGTTTTCATTATACATTTATCCACTCGCATAAATAACAAATGATAATCTAAAATATTATATTATGTTATTATTTTTCTGAAGTTTGTTATACCTAGTCAACTAAATGATCTAAATGTCCTAGCAATACTCGTTAGTATTTATATTTTATCTCTATCTAAATAATAAATAGGTACACAAGCACAAAAGATAGTCAGTACCTATAGATACATGATAATATTTTATAAATTTAACTACTTTCCTGACAAAGACATCTCGACTATGGATCCCACCCGTGTTCATGACTGTATAATTAAGCAATGAGCAGGCTGACACGTCTTATTCTGTATTCATATGATTCAAAATTATAAAATAAAATAGATGTTTGCAGCGAATTGCTTAAATTGTAGTAAGCTCTCTAACAATCGGACATAATCTATGACGTAYACCACAGAAATATCCAGAAGGGGTTTAAGGAAGTGTACCTATATACTTACACCAATGAACACAATTAACAATTATGGTTGAATKTATTAGTTTATTATTAACATATTAGTGTGTTTTCAGTTCGATTTGGAATATTAATTAGTAATTAGAAATTACTAATCACTAATTTATTAAATGGCAAATACCTTCAAATATCCACGGCCACGCAATCAACTTATTTCTTCGTCCATTAAATGAAATTTCATACATTTCTACAATCAATAATAAATTATATTTTATCTTACTATTAAATATAATATAATTTATATTTAGCTTACAATATTTCATTTAGCGTAAAATAAAAATATGTAAATG